GAGGCCACAGGACTAGAGGGGGGGGAAAGAGTCTATGAACCCTCTAGAAAGATTGTAAACCTAATCTAAACTCACAGGCCAGCACCACAGGGAGGGGGGTACGAACCCTCTACAAATACAATAAACTTTCTTTTAACCTTTCTTTGAGCCACAGGACAAGACCCAGACCACAGGCCACAGGGGGTGGGGGGGGACCTTGTAAACCTTAATTTAACCACAGGCCACGGGGGGGGGTGGGGCGGGGATACCATGGGAGGGGGGATGGGGGTTGGTGGCTGCTGGCGCATATATACCCCTATAACCCCAATATTATAGTAACTTGAAATAAGTTACGCTGAGTTCCCGAAGAGCAACTCAGGAAAGCACGACCACGGTGGGCGATTCTCCGGGGCAGATGTTGCGTGGTGGCTTAATCTAGTTGCAAGTGTATTCACTGCTACTTGGGGTAGAGGGTATAACCACAAGCCTTAAACCCTAAACCCTTAAAACCCTGCGTCGTGCGAAGGGTTCACATGATTCTGTCTGCCAGATGCACAGGAATAGCAGCGCTGGCCAATCTTTGCTAACCTTTCGCCCTCAAGACTGAGACGTAAAGCCGGACCCTGAGGGTCCAAGCACCCAAGCTGTTTAGGGTTTAGGGTTTCTGTAGTCTCCTTAGGACTTTCAAAACTTTATACTAGTATGCACTTTTAAACTTTTAGTTCTAGGTCTAAGGAGACCAAAGGTTTCGGGTTTAGGGACTGGAAGGCAATCTGGGAGGGAAGGTTGTAAAAATACTTTCTATACCTAGACTAAGATAGCCTCATACATACGGCAAGTAGCATCGTGGGTTTGAGGCCATTGTTCGTGTATTTGAGAGGTCTAGGTAATGCTTCCCTGATGCGCCCGAGTACTGCCTACCTGAACCCGCAACAATATGTAGAATATTTGCCCTCTTTGCCATTTTTAACAGTGCTGGGTTACTATTTCGCCTACTTTTGGGATCCAGGTAGGAGCATGAAGATTCTTCCGACCCTGAACCTACACACTGCTCATTACTTGGCAAATGGATCCATATAGCCCAGTGTAGGCAGTTTAGGGTTTAGGGTAGACTCGGGTAGACTGTAGGGTCCAATGTAGGTATTGTTTTCATACTTGGCCTAAACTAAACCCTAAACCTTAAACCCTAAGCCCCTAAACCCTAAACCCTAAACCCTAACCCTAAATGGAAGGCAGTGATCGGCTGCGTGTCGCTCCTGATCGGGAACGTTGCCATTCTGGGTTCCTTTGCTTAACCAAACCCTAAGGTTCCAAGGACCCAAAGAATGGGGTCCCTTTAAAAGGGGTTATAGGGGGGATATATAGGGATATATGGGGACTATATAGGGTTATATAGTACCCAAATAGTAGGGTTTTAGGGGCCAAATACTATAATATTCATGGTACTTGGGACCTAAAGCCCTATTCTTGGGGTTCTTGGAGGCTTAGGGAAAGGTTGAGGGTGTAGGGTTTGAAAGACTTGGGAGGAAGCGCTAGGGCTCCAGTTACCTGAATAGGGGGTTCAGGGTGTAGGTGGTTCAAGATTGGGTAAGCGTGGTGTAGGAGTTGAGGCCTGAGAGACAAGAGGCTGGGATGTAGCGATACCGGGACTTCGGCCGAAATTCTGTGTTTCATGAAGGTTTAAGGTTTAAGGTTTAGGTGTCAGGGTTTAGGGTTTAGGTGTTAGGGTTTAGGGTTTAAGGTTTAGGTTTTAGGGTTTACAGTGTAGGGTTTAGGGTTGAATGACCTAACCCGACCCCCCCCCCCTCCATACTACCAGGTCAATTAGGCTTGCTAGCTTATTTCGGGAAGGAGGGAAACTTAAGCGGGCCAGTATGGTGGGGAGCGGTTAGGTGAGCCTATACTAGGACCTCTTTGTACCCTTAAACAAGGATAGATGGTCCCTAAGAGTGAGAATTTAGGGTATATAAGGCTAGACGGAGAGTGTAGGGAATTGCTTCAGCTGTTCCTAGAATCAAGCCTACTCCGTGGTGGTCCCAATCCTTCCATTGGGGTCTAGACGTAAACATCCCAGACTTGCATGCGCTTTCTGGTGCACTCAGGGGAAACTGACAGCTTGGACCACAGGTAGCAGATCTACCATTTTTAGGAGCTACGGCCTCGATGGAGGTTAGGCTTACTTCTAACTTGAACCTCAACATCCACTTTCCCTACAGTAAGGGTCCAGTACGCAACAACCATATACGTACCCGCAATAACTGTAGCGCCAAAATCCCAAGTACCGAATTATTGGGCACGTGGATCCTTAGGGCTTTGTCGTCTCCGGAAATCTCAGAAGGCCTGAAGGAACCCTTGACGTCGTTGCCGGACAGATTCCTACATCAGCTATAGTCTAAACTCATCAAAGGGGGTTATATAAATGTAGGGAGTGTTATAATATTTTTCGAGGGGGAAACTAGGAGTTTGGACTATAGCTCACATGGTTCAGACTACACATCGGAACTACTGTGCCTACACCCTGCACCTACCCCTCTATCTACCCTAAATACCCACCATTAAGGACCACATACCTCTATTGAAGGGTGGGGAGGTCTTGGATAGGCTCATGTAGCACAAGAACTCAAGGCCTGCAGTTTGGATAAGCATTGAACGGAACTCTTCCGAGGGCCCCCCCAAGTACCATGCGCATAGCCCATATGCCTATTCTTAGTAACGTTATGACTCGTCTTCAGGGATACTTGGAAGGTCGTTGCACGGTTTGTAGCCGAGCAGAGAGCACGGAACGCCATTGCGTTGTGGCTCATCGATTGACCAGCTGAAGCCGGAGTAGCCTTTTGGGAAAACATCCCGAAGAAAATCTTTCGCCAGATTAGGATGACGCAGCGCACCTCGAAGATGGCATTGGCAGGAGCCGCCGCAGGGGGCATGGCCCTTCTGAACGCAGCTTCCGCTTTCGTGGCCACTCCGGCCGCTACTCAGCCTGCCCTCCGTGGAGCCACCACCGCGCAGGCGCAGGCACAGACCAACACCGCCTCCTCGTTGTCTACGCTGGCTGCCGGAGGTGCCGTGGCTGCTGCTGTGGCAGCTGGCGCCCGTCCAGGCCGCAAGACCCGCGCGTCAGTGGTCACCACCAAGGAGAGTGCCGTGACCCGCCGCGCCTTGGACCAGTCCAGCCGCTACGCCGACCTGTCCCTCGATGAGGCGACCCTGATCAAGAATGGCAAGCACGTGCTGGTTGCTTACATCATGAAGCCAAAGGCCGGATACGACTACCTGGCCACGGCGGCCCACTTCGCTGCCGAGTCCTCCACGGGAACCAACGTGANNTGTGCACCACCGATGACTTCACCAAATCTGTGGACGCCTTGGTCTACTACATTGATCCGGATAGCGAAGAAATGAAGATCGCTTACCCTACCCTGCTCTTTGACCGCAACATCATCGATGGCCGCGGCATGATGTGCTCCTTCCTGACCCTGGCCATCGGCAACAATCAGGGTCCATAGCTCAGACGTGCAGCGGCAATTTGCAAGTTGGCGGTGCTTGTGCAGTTAATGCCAGCCCTGCAAGACCAAGTACGTGATAGCTTTGTGTCTCTGAGGTATGGGTGATGTGGAGTATGGTAAGATCTACGACTTCTACCTGCCCCCTGGGTTCCTCCGCCTCTACGACGGCCCGGCCGTGAACGTGGAGGACATGTGGCGCATCTTGGGCAAGGGCACAAGCAACGGAGGCCTCATATGTCCCTATAAAAGCTCACACCCAAACATGTCCCTCATATAACCCTATGTCATCCTCCGACCATAGCACTAGGACCACCCCAAACCCTAATCCCTAAACCCCCTAAACCCTAAACCCTGAACCCTTAAAGAGGCCTTGTGGTGGGCACCATTATTAAGCCCAAGCTTGGACTGCAGCCTAAGCCTTTTGGTGAGGCCTGCTATGCGTTGCCTGGGTTGCGGTTAAGGAAGTTTAGGGGTTTTAGGGTTTGGGGATTTAGGGATGTAGGATTTGGGATTTAGGGCTTAGGGTTTTGGGGTTGAGGGATTTAGGGTTTAGGGTTTAGAGCTTAGGATTTAGGGATTTGGGGTTTATTAGGGTTTTGGGATATGTGGGGATCTAAAGGAATAAAGTGAAACTCCAACATGAAATAGAAACTGTGTCTCTACAGGGACATTTAGGCGTTTAAGGAACTCAAGTTCAGATACCATGGCAAGGGTACATAGTACATGATGCAGCTTCTTTGTGGCAGCTCAATTTATGCCGTGCTTTGCAGAACCCTAAACCGAGCCCTCAACCCTAAGCCCTAAACCCCAACCCTAAATCCTACACCCTGAACCTTCAGCCCTAGCCCTAGTCCCCCTTAAGTAGATAGAATATTGCTTTGGGTATGTTAGAATAAGATCCCTTTATATGCGACATTCTATCTACTTACGGGGGACCATATACCCTGAACTTAGGTTCTGGCAGGGAGGTGACTTCATCAAGAATGACGAGCCGCAGGGCAACCAGGTGTTTCTGGGTTGCTGTTAAGGAACTTCATTTAATTTACTATTGGAAACCCTATTAATTACTGTATATATATATATACCCATTATGGTAACCCTTAACCCCAAACCCTGTATACCACATGAATACCCATTATGGCAACTTAAATCAAATTCCATAACGGCAACCCAGGTTTTGCCAGATGAATGAGTGCATTCCGGAGGCAGGGATGGGTACAGGGTTTAGGGTTTCAGGGTTTGGGGGTTTTAGGGTATAGGGCTTAGGGCTCTAGATCTAGGGTTTAGCTTATTGGAGTTATGGTCTAGGCTCTAAGGGTTTAGGGTTGAAGGTTTTAGGGTTTAGGTTTTAGGGCTTATAGAGTTCAGGTTACGGGGTAAGAAACTCCCATATGAGGTATGTCTGTATTCTGGGTTTTTGGTGAGGGTATATGGGTATCCTCAGGCATATTGGTGAGTGTATACCTTGAGTAACTAGAATAGGGGGAGGGACCACAAATTGAAAACCTACCACATCTAGGATTTCTTCAGAAGCGCAGGCCTGAAATTCATGAATTGTTTCCACGTGCTGTTAAAAAGCAACCAGGAAGAACCCTAAAGCCTAAACCCTAAACTGTGTTGTTTGTCGGGTCATGCCTGAAGGATATTTGGAAGATTTCACCTGTTTTGGGTTTAGGGTTTAGGGTTGCAGTGAAGCCATATTAAAACCCGTCAAGACGATAAAGCTGGTTCAGCGAGCCTTTTACGCAAGCCCTGGCCCCTTCCCTAGCCAAGTACTCAATGCAGGAAGCCAGAGGTAGTACACTCCTACCTACTGTTCTGTGTTACGTGTTAAGCTTTCTGGTACAAATATAGTACTGGACTTGGGGAGCTCAATACTGCAGAATCTCTATTTAACTGCTGTCCAGCGATACAGAAGAGAAAAGCAGCAGGACAAGAATGTGCCTCACTGATTGAGGATTGAAGTAAATTCCGCTGCAACATCAGGTTGTGAAGGCCATGAGAGCCGCCATCAAGGAGACCGGCAACGGCAAGCTGTTCTCCGCCAACATCACCGCGGACGATCCCAACGAGATGATTGCCCGAGGCAAGTACATTCTGTCCCAGTTCGGCCCTCTGTCGGAGAACTGCGCGTTCCTGGTGGATG